AGATGGTAGGTTTATTCATTACTTGTGTTGACTGAATTTGGGAATTTAGGGCTTATGTAGCTTCTGTTTTGGTATCTTTTTAGATAGCTCAGGAGAGTTGATTGGCATAGTTTCCTAAATCATGGGTGTGCATGGTGGCCCAAGTAGGTTGTAATTTTTTTAAGGTGTTATTCAAGTTTGTCTTGTAGACCCTCAACAAAAGATGAATTAAAAAGCGCTGAGGTGTCATCACTGAGTTCATCTACACTGGACTAGTGTTTAAAAACTTTTCCAAATCTATCATAATAATTAAAAACAATTTCATCAGGTTTTTTAACATGTTTTAGAATTTCCTTCCAATCAGTAACCCAAGGGAAAGCCTCAGGTATCTTTTCATGAAGCAGTTTAGCCAGCTTTGAGACTTCGTTCATAGCTTTTTGTCCTCTACGGAAGAAGTCGTTAATAGTCTTTCCATCTCACCTTGTCTATCCATTCTCTAGCATGTCCTTCTACTAGCATGTGGATAAGCTGATAGAGGTCAGAGAATCCTGGCTCATATGTTTGGATAGTGAGCATAAATTCTCTAGCAAACCCAATGGGGTCCTCTTTGGGATTAGGGAAATACTTAGCAATGGCACGGAGTTCAGCTTTAGTGAATGAGATATAAGAAATAAGGGGCTCTTATCCTGGGCTAGGCTCATTCAATGGCTTGACTTTAAATGGGGTAGGAAGAGTAGGGGGTGTCTAATGGAGCCTCAAGTTCATATTATAAGAAGGAGTTCAGTGAGTGAAGGCTAAAGAGGGAGAGGAAAGGCAGGAAGCAAAGGAGCAGAAGGTGTAGATAAGCAGACATCAGATGAACATTTAGAAGTTTCTCAAATTTAGTAAGCCTCTGAGATAACTCAGAATTTGCTTTGGTTAATTTAGGATTTGTGTTTTTGAGTGAAGTAGTTTTTGAATCACTTATAGATTTGGAGGCCTCAAAATGTCAATTAAAATATGCTTCCTATAAGGTTGCTTAGTTTTGTAGCCTTCTTCCAATTGACTGTGGAGATAGACTAAATTAGGGATTCCAAAAGAGCCCTAGTTGGCTAGTTTAACTGTAAACTGTCCTGAGTAATTATGGTCCAGCAAGATAGAAATTTGCAAGACAGGAGGGCCTGTAATTTTTGTACATAGGTCCAGCACAAGTTCCAGAAGGTGGCTGTTCAGCAGCCATTCCTTTAGAAAGTGAACGTCTTATTTTTCAAAAGAGTAATTACTCACCACACAGGCGTTTTAAGTTCTGTAGACAAAAAAGCTGGCAACAGAGGATGCCCAAATAGAGCCTGAACCTCAACCAAGGTGGGAGGTTCAGTTCCAGGAGGACTTACCACAATAATCTGGGACCACTGGGAAGGGAAGATGATAGAGTGCAATAGACTCTTGTTGGTACCTTACTCAAACCAATGGAGGCACCGGAAGTGGAGGCAAGTCACTCTGGATCCCACTCCTCTGACACCATGTAATATCAATCAATTTTGATCAAGAACTGCAAAGCAAACAGAAGCTTTATTTGGGGTCTTTAGGAATTGCAATTGTGGACACACAGATTTAGGCAGAAACCCAACTGGGTTTGGAGGGGAAAAGAAAGACAGAGAGTTTCTAAAAACTGGAAAAGGGGGGCTTGCAAATGGGTTACACAAGTTGTTTTGAAAGAGCTGTGATTGGTGTTGGCAAGCCGACTTACATTGTGCTATATATACATGATTGATTGATTGCTTATGTCTATTGATAGGTGAAAAATTTATCTCTTAATAGAGATTTCAGTGATGCAGACCCAGTTCCAGGAACTGTATCAGGATGCAGCCATTTGTGGTTTAGCCCACTTGAAAAGTTCAATTTCATATGGAGGGGGTGTGTTAGCTCAGCTTCCTGGAGGCTCCTGGCTCCATTTTAGGTTGCTTTCTTGACATTATCAACTCCATTTTGCTGTTTTTCTTTCACAGTGTCACGTCAAAAAAGGCCTTCTCCATTCAGAGACTATAAAAAGATTTAGGAAATATTACAAAAAGAGCTTTCCAAAGATGTGTAGCTTTGCAACAGATGTTAGATCTGGCTTTTTGAATATAGTAAAACCTTGGATTGTGAGTAACTTGGCTTGCAAGTGTTCTACAAGATGAGCAAACATTTCTATTAGGTTGGTGCAAAAGTAATGGCAAACACCGCTATTACGTTTGCACCAACCTAATAATACATTTTAACTTGGTAAATGAGCGATGTCTTGCAATACGAGTAGTTTGTTTCCGGAATGAATTATGCTGACAAACTGAGGTATTACTGTACTTTTATAAGCAGCACTCTTTTAAGGATGGGGATTAGAGGGAAAGCACCAAGGCAAATCATACTTGTGTTTTTTTCTATCTCATTCATCCCCGTAGCCCATTTCTATTCTGGTAATATCAGGTTTAAATGAATAGTAAAGATTGCCATAAAACAAAAATTTAAATCATTGAAATACAGACTAAAAGGACAGAACAAAATGGGGATAGTTGGATAGGGAACTCACCAATTTTCTGTATAATGTTTCTTCTGTGAGACACGCATAAATTATATACATCCACAGAACCATCAACAGTAAGAACCTAGAAATATTATTCTACCTCCACAGAGCCAAGCAGACTACAACACTAAAATGTCTATATTCAAATGCAAGCTAACATGAAGAAAATAAAACATTAATGGCACATCAGGTTAATGTAGAAGAAACACTAAGACACCCTGAAGCACAATTACAATGTGAAGTCACAGGGATAGTCACATGCTGGAGTGCTAGCATCAGTTTGCTTCCTTTGGATCACTGGCTTTGGACAGAATGTGTGGTAAAGACAGCAATTATACAATAGCCTCCCTTACCTGTGATTTCAATTTTCAGTTTCAGGTACCTATGGTCAACCATGATCCCAAAATATTAAATGGAAAATTCCAGAAATAAACAATTCATAAGTTTTAAATTGTGCACCATTCTGAGTAGTATGATGAAATCTCACACTGTCCTGCTCCATCCTGCCAGGGACACGAATCATCCCTTTGTCCAGTGTATCCACACTGTATAATGCGACCTGCCCATTAGTCACTTAGTAGCCATCTAAGTGATCAGATTGACTGTCATGGTATGTCGAGAACCAGCTCGACAGCCGGAGCACCTGGGTGATCAGGCTAGGAGCCCACCAAACAGTCCCTGAACAGGACTGGTTAATGTGAGGAATTGAGAAAAGAAAGAGATGGCACAGACACCAAAGTTGGGATTAGGAGGTTCACGAACTGCTGAAGGCAGAGAGTAACAACGTTTATTAAATGTGTACTGGTTATATAGAGAGCAATATCCTCTTTTGTCGGGAACGATTCCCTTAGCTAAGCATAGGGGATTTGGTAGGGGGTTTTGGGGAATGAGAAACCAATGTCCCTGACGTAAGGGTTTGGAAGGGAGATAATCTCTTAGCAACAATTTATATAATTACACAGCACAGACTAATGATATATTTTAAGGTAGGTTAAACTGAGGCAAATAGCAACTGTCAGCAAGTCCATGGTGGAAAGTCCCCAAGTTCATAAGCCCATAGACAGTGACATCTGAGGGTCTGGTGGTTTCAGTTCAGGAACTTCTGCTTTTCCATGGCACAGGAGATGAACGGGGCGTTGCTGGGTTACATGTTTTTCCAGCAGTTCCCCTTCTGCTGTTCACCCAACATGAAGTTTTATAGCTTTTTTCTAAGTACACAGAACATGGGGGTCTGCAGCCACCTGCCATTCTCAACTTGCAGTCAGCTTGTATTCTCACTACTTCTCAAATGGCTCCCAACAATGGTATTGCAGTGCTTGTGTTCACATAACCCTATTTTACTTAATAATGGCCCCAAAGCATAAGAGCAGTGGTGCTGATAATTCAGATATGCCAAAGAGAAGACATAAAGTGCTTCCTTGAAGTGAATAGGTATGTATGTATAGGAAAAAAACATAGTATATATAGTGTTCAATACTATTCATAGTTTCAGACATCCACTGGAGGTGTTAGAACATATCCCCCCCAGACAAGGGGGGAACAACTGTAGTTCAAGTCTCTGCTGACAGTGACGATGGCTACAAACCCGTTTTACAGTTAAGAGAACTGAGGCTCAATGTCAGAAACAGTGGCAAAGCTAGGGTTTTAATTCAGGTTGGAGACTCTTACTATATTTACTGCCTTATAGAATACCCAATTTTAGCTTAGCTGTAGGGAAGGGGAGTAAGAATAAATTAGTAGGAATGTGAGGAATACAGAAGAATGAGAAGAGTTTAAAAGAGTGACTTTTAAGTGCTGATTGTCATCCATGAATGGATACAATCAATTTAGTAGGCTGTGATCAACATTTTTAAAGGAAATAAGACAGAATAAAATAGAGAATATCCAAGTGTACTGCACACAGTAGTGAGTCCTCACTTAAAATTGTCAACAGATTCTGTGACTTTAAGCCAAACAACATATAACGAAACCAATTTTACCACAGGCTAATTGATACAAACAAGAGTTAAGTTCCTAAGGCACCTCATCAACATTATAACACAATGATGTTATTCGAGGACCTGCTGTATTGTTACACGTAAGTGTGTGTGCCTTTTGTACTAGAGTCCTGATATAACACATATTTCTTACTGTGGGTCTTCTTTTTTTTTTGCCACTTGTTTATTTACCCTGCATTTTCATTTTCATTTTTTCCAGTTTTATTAGGGTATAATTGATAAGAAAAAGTATAAAACTTTTTGAAAACATGAAGATCAAGGGTATAGTACTATGAAGACAAAGGAAGTAAATGAAAGAATGGTAGATTTTTTTTAGGAACTACTACACATGAACATTTTGGTTACTTGGAGAAAAAAAGAACCCTGATGCTTTATTATATTTTAAAATTATTACTAATCCTACTATATACCATTGCTCCAGAAATCTGAAACCATATCCAAACAGTAAAATATGCTTGCTTTACAGTTGTACATACTCTTACCTCACTTATATTTGAATCTGTTATCTGTCCCTGCAGGCTCATTATTTTAATCAGTCTATCTTTTATGTTGGGAGGCAAAGGCTTAATGTCTGTGATATATCTGGAAATATTCTTCATGAAGCACCAAAGGCATCTGAAATACAAATACGATATAGTAAATTATACTGTACCAGAACTGATTCTTAATATTTGTTTAATGCTGTTTGTTAGTACTTAGCCCTTTCATAAAGAGGATGTACATTTATACTAATATTTACAACTTAAACTTTGTAAGATTCAAAAGCTTAGTCTGGACTCAGTTATTTACAAGTTGCTCTTCCTCTGAGAAGAGCGATTTTTTTTTATTCTAAATGATACATTTATTTAGAATGATTAAGCACTCTCTGATTACTTGAGTATTCAATAAGGCAATTTCTAATTACTTTAAGAATGCTTTACTTTAAATTATTGCATAGATAGAAGAATGGGGTAATTTTCTAAATTATTGCATCTAATTAAATAATAATGATAATAATAAATATTATTCTTAAAGCAAATACATAAATATATTCATAAAAAAACCCATTACCTTGGAAAAGTAACCTAGAAAACTGGAGTTTATATTGCCACCCCCTGCTCATTTTTTTTTTTATTGTTAGTTTCAGGTGTACAGAACAATGCAATAATTATCCTTTTCACCCTCACAAAGTAACAACCCCCCTCGCCCCTCTGTTGCCCTCCCCGCCGATATCATGCTTATCTATTACAATTCCATTGATTCCATTCCTGCTCTCTATTCCATGTCCCGAGACTATATGTATATATAATTATAGTTGACACACAATATTATTCAACATCAGCTTCAGAAATACAGTGCGGTGGTCAGGCCTCTACACCGACTATGAAGTGGTCTCCCCAACAGGACATGAGTCCATCTGGCCCCCTAAGAAATATTTACAACATTATTGATTATATTCCTCAGACTGTCTTTTTCTATCCCTGAGGCCATATTGTAATTGCCAATTTGTATTGTCTCATCCCTTCCCCTTCTCTTTCATCCCCACCCCCTCCCAACTAACAACCCTCAGTTCTTCCTCTGTGTCTGTGAGACTACCTCCATCCACTAGAAGAGTAATTTTTAACTGCTGTGATTTTTAAACTTTTTTCTCAGCATACCTTATTTTCTAAAATGCATTCTAAATGACAAAAAAAAATTGTTTTTTTTAAGTTAGTCTCTCTAATTTCTAAGACACACGATTTCAGCCATATATTCCTAAATAAACATTAAACTAGGCACTACTAATTGACAAGTTTTATCTGTTAATCTATCAATCTTGTTTTCATTATTTTTCTTAAAAACTATGCAGATAGGGGAATCACTAGAGAAAGAACTATAACCACAAAGATTCCACAAATAGTACAAATCACAGAAATAGCAAACTTAGTGCCAGAATTGTACCCAAGACACATATAACCAACATATCTCATATGTGGCCTGAAATTCCAACTATCTGAGAAACTCACACTTTAAACAAATAAATATAAATCTTATTTAATTTCTGCTTACAAATATACCCACATACATTCGTACATAATTTTACATTTATGAATAAATGTGGGCATAAATTTGAATTTCTTTTTTAGGACAATCTTTATTTTTTCTTTTCCTCTTTTGGTTGCCTCGGTCTTTCCCTCTCTTATCCTTCCCCCTTCCATTAGTTTAATTCTTTGCACTAACTTAGTGTACCGTATTTGCCGGCGTATAAGACGATTTTTTGGTCCTGAAAAATATGCCTCCAAGTGGGGGGTCGTCTTATATGCCAGGTACACTTCAGATAGACTGCCCATAGTGCTTGCCCCGTGCCATAGTGGCCTCCCGATGCCCGCCCACTTCATTCCACATACC